ATTCTAAAATACAATACATTCAACTTTCCATTAAGCCAAATAACTGTAATTTTTTTTTAAATACAATACATTATTTATGCATTGCATTCAAGTGACAAAACATCCCTTTCTTTCTACAAACAAAATTGCTTCCACCATTGATATAAAACATACAACTCAATTCTTTCGTATTTGTACATCTAACCCCTAAATTTAAATTTTTACACGTGTCACCTGATTTTTGTATGAAAAATGTAATATTTTTATATTTTATGAAATATTTGGACGTAATAAATATAAAAACCAAAGTTTAACCGTCAAATATTTGCCCCTTAAAAATGTGTTTTTATCATGTTATTCAATTACGTTTTATTTCTTGCCCTAACTAAAGAGAAAATTTTACGTCTGGACACTGCTCGTCCGGACGTCCAACCGACCGCCTGGCGCCAACGTGGGGTCTTGAGGTTGGCCGTCCGGGCGTGGTAAATAAGAGGAAATATATCCAAATCATAAAAAATTATTTACTCTTTAGTATATATATTATACTATTAATTTGAAACTTATTCCTTGCCTTAAATAAATTGAGCTCATCTCTTAACTTCTTTCTATGGAGGCATAAAGTTGCTATTTACCTTTATTTCTTCAATTTTACTTTGCGGTAGAATTGTCATAATTTCTTATTTAAGAAATTAAGGATAAATGAAAAAATAAATTACTCATGAGAAGTTGCCACGTTAACCCCTTTTTTTTTTCCTCTTTAATTTCTATTTTGCAATTTTTAATAACTCATTGAAAATTTATAGGTCAAAGAGAGGAAATTAAAAAAAAAGCATGGTAAAGTAAAAAAAAAAAAAAAAAGGTCGTCTCAGTATTAAATTGTGCTTTATTATATATTTTAGATAATATAAATTATAAAATGTCATTTTTTAAATAGAAAAAAACAGTAAGAATTAAATTAAGGAATATATTTTTTGTTTAATGTTGAAGAACAAGCCTAATTTCTCATGGTCATAATGATAGAAAATATTTGCATACATAAGACGTAAGCAGAGCTGCATATCTCAGGAGGTTATTCAGAGGATATAAGGGGGTTATATTCGTGTTATACCCCCATATAACCTACTTGTAATATATCAGTAACCTATAAATAAGTTCCACGCTTCTATAGTTCCGGTAGGTGCAGGTAAGTTACAGGGAGATTACATGGAGTATAACACGGATGTAATCCCCGTGTACCCTCTAAATAACCTCCGACGTATGCAGACGCACTCAAATATTTTCCCATAATGATAGGCTCAGTAATAAGCAAGCGCAAGCCAGCTGTTCAGGCACCAGAGAAAATATCTTTTAAGAAATTAAAATGCTTGGGATCACATTAAAAATTTGAAAAAGGTCCATTTGTCATAATTTCAAACTTAATTTTATCTCACAAATAAAAAAAATGATTGGAAATTGCTACAGACAAAAATGTTAAATAATCATGATATAGCTTTATATTAAGATGAGCTTAAATTTTATTAAATCTATTTAAAAATTAGTATAATGAATGAAGAATTTATATTACAATAATCATAAACATATTCTCTAAATTTTAATGTGATATTAATACAATTTGTATTAAAAATAGTGATGATATTAATTTAAAGTTAACTTATAATTAATGTCACCGAATTATTACTTTCAATCAGTTTTTAACTTAGCTAAAAAAAAATATGGTTTTGAATTTATTGTTGTTGAAGGTTCCAGAGTATTTCTGAATCGGTATACTTCAGTTTATAGATTGATTGTAAGTAAATATGTTGTCTTAATTAGAGATATGCTGAGACGAATATAACCCCTGGTATCATCTCCTTTCCCAAAACGACCAGATCCCTGGTATCATCTCCTTAGTGGCCTTGATCTAGAATTCAAACATTTTAGAGGTGAGGTTCTTTGGATGGACCCCTTGATGGACCTCGATCACACCTATGCTTATGTCCGTCAACATGCTATGTGTCATGCTTCCTTAAATTATGAACATGGAAATCCTGAATCTTCTATTCTGATGGCTCAACGCTCTAAGCCCTACACTCGATAACCCACTTTGAGGATTGAATCTGAACAAGCGCGATATTAGAAGAGCAGCTATGAAATAAGTGCTACGAAACCCGAACGTATTTGGACTCATTGTGGTGAGACAGGCTACAGAAAAACATGGTGTTATGACTTAATTGACTATCTAGATTAGTGGGATCCAGCAAAAGGCGCTACACAAGCACAATTCAAAGGCAAACCATCAAGCCTTCATTGTGGTAACCGAACCTTCCAATGATGTTGCATAAGCCTCCTCTTTGATTGCTACTTCATATAACATTGGTGAGGTTTTCCATACTTCTGTATCAGTTATTACTAGTAGTACATGGATAATCGATTATGGTGCTATGAATCACATGACCTTTGACGATAAATAATTCCATATAAGAAACAGTTTACCACACATATAGTATCTAGTGCTAATGGTTAACACATTACCTTCGAATGGGGAATGTTCAATTCCTCTCTCATAAAATTTGAATATAGACTCTATTTTAGTTGTACATTCCCACAACCATAATTTATTATCTATTGCTCAAATAATCAGTACGTTGTATTGTGTTGTAATTTTTTGGCCTAAATATTGTGTTTTTAAGGACATTCAAACTTAGAAGATAATTGGTTTTGGTAGTAGAAAGGGGAAGCAATACTATCTGGATTTGAAGCAAACTAGCTCATATCAGTTGGCTCAAGCTCCTTCAGCGGATCAGATCGACAGGTCCTTTGAAATTTGGTTGCGGCACGGGCTCTAGGGTCTTTTTTGGATATTTCAAAATATTTTTCCCAAAATTGCTTTCTTAGTTAAATAATTTAGATTTCAAATGCAGTGGTTGTGAACTTGCAAAATGACATCTGTATCATTCTCATTGAGTATGAATAAAAGTCTAGTACCCTTTATGTTGATTAAACTGGGTGTTTGAGGGCCAGCAAAAAGCCCTTCCTTGAATGGCCCTTGTTGGTTCGTTTTATATATTGATGACCACACATGTATGAATTGGGTTTGTTTAATGAAATCAAAGAATGAAGTTAGTTCTTTGTTTCATAAATTTCATAAGATGATCGCCACTCAATACCAATCTTACATACAAGTTCTTCGCATTGATTATGGTGGAGAATTTGTTAATTATAACCTAAGTAGGTAATTGCAGGAACATTTTATTTCTCACAAAATGAATTTCCCTTATTCCCCTCAGCAAATGGAGTTGCAGAACGCAAGAATCGTCACCTATTTAAAATTGTATGAACCTCTTTATTTGGAGCTCACACGCACACTAGTTACTGGGATGAAGCACTCAGTGTTGCGGCTTACCTCATTAACCATGTACCCTCTAGCTCGCTGAATTTTTAGACTTCCTTTAAAGTTCTTCATTCAATTATTACTGCACCTACAACTCTGAATTTTTCACTAAAATTTTGGGGTGAGTGGCATTTGTGCATTTTCCTAAGACATTGCGTGATAAGTTGGAACCATAAGTCCTACGATGTGCCTTTGTTGGCTAAGCCCATTTCAGAAAGGATATCGCTGTTATAATCCCCTATCACAGAAAATGTATGTCACCCTTAATGTTGTCTTTCATGAAAATGGCATTTACTATGTTGTTTCCAAGTCTTTAATTCAGTAGAAGAGACGAAATGAATTGCAAACTCTATATCTAAATTCTTTTTTATACCATTCAGATATAATGGGTGGATTGTTGGATAAAAGTAAGGACAAAATTGTGTTGTGTAAGCAACCTTCTTTCGACCAACTGAGCATTAGTTTGAATGGGGACAACAAAATCAGATGGAAACGACTCCAATTCAAGTACCATCTAAACAATTATTTTATGAGGATGATTCCGTTCCCGAAGCTCGGGTACATCTTGTGATATTTCCTACAACCCAATTTAGCACAATTTAACCAAACATGCGAAAGTTGACAGACATCTCTTCAAGAATAAACTAGAAGCAAAGATCATTGAAGCACCTAATGTCTCATCTTAAGAACAACTTCTTGATCTAATCACTGAGTGTCATATCAAGTCAAGTTCTTAATGATGGTCTAAACAAATTGGGAATGAGCGACATCCACGCACCAACTTGAGGGAGATTATTTACGATTCTATAATTATTTTCAAGTTGTATATTTTGGTATTAGATTCATCGTAAATAAATATATTGCCTTGATTAGACATATGCTCATTAGTTGTAAATATATATGTTACCTAGATTAAATGTATGAGTATTTATAGCCCTAAATTTTAGCTTTCTAATTATGTATATTGGTTGTTTATATCCACAATCTTGCCAGAATAAAAGCATGAATGAAAGCCTAGAATTTGACTATTATAAGCTGAGGCGAAATGAAAATATTTATTTTGTCAATTAAAATTACCTAAAATCAATGGAACATTTGTCATATTATTAAATAGAAAGATTTACATACTAATAACTCAATTATTTTGTATTTACATATTTAACAACTAAATTTCAAATATATATATATATATATATATATATGTGCATCTTATCTACCCATAAAAGTGAGTATTTTATCTTTTAAATGTTAAAAATTTATAATAATAACACTTTTCAAGAAATATGAAGATGTAAATGTAAAATGTAAAATTTACATATTAGACTACATTTAATCATGAAGTGGGTCACATCAGCTTGGACCACTTCAACCCTTGAACAAGAAATGGTCAATATGATCAAATAATAAAACTATTATCAAATACTAATAATCCTTTTATAAATAATTAATTTTATTTTAAAATAAATTATAATTTTTTAAAAAATCCAACTATTTAAATTTATTTATATTTATATTCAATTTTCATGCAGCTCTAGAAGAACACTTCCTTCAAGTCCACCGAAGCCAGCGTTAATTAATTAATTAATTAATTATTCTGTATTTGGCCGATGCCAGAAAAGCGAAGAAATAAATTCTTAAAATTGCAGGGGGGAAAGCGGGAGAGGAGAGAGCGGGCGGAGTTCATAAAAGAGAAAAGAATAGCATTTTTGTTTACTAGCCGGCTTTCTTCTTCACGAGGTATTCCTCGATCTAATCTCTCCTCTTCTCAATCTTCTTCGCCATTCTGTATGCTGAAATTTGGCTTTTTTATATTTTTTTTGATGTGATTGATAATTTTTCCATCGAAAAATTATATCTTGTCGGTTCTTAATCTGATTGGAAGCATTTTTCTCCCCAATCATGCTTCTTGGTACTCTTTTGGATGGTAACTAATAATCCTAAAAAATCATTTTTTTCATCCTTCGAACGAAGAAGCTTCTCGTCGTCTAGCTCTGTTTAATTTTATTTTTGGTGCTAATTAAGCGAATAATTTTTTTTCCTATGCTGATTTGGTTTAATGATGGAGATGCGACTCTAGCGTGTACATCTGATGTCAGCTTTGCCTTTTTCCACATTTGTTCTTCCTTCGTCCTTTTACGAGATTTGTGGATAAGGTCTTACCTTCTTTCATTTTGAGAACTCGCCTCGTTTTCCGCACATCACTTAACATTTATTGAATTGAAGCTTCTGAAAATTTTGCCCGAATAAAAAATTTCGAAAATGCCAATTTTTGCAGGAATAAAAGTCCAAGTTTTGATTTTTTGTTTTGTTTCTCAAACCCTGGAACTGTCAACTTCGTGGCGGGCCAAAGTGGAAGTAAAGTCATGTCCTTTTAGGTTGGAAGCATCCGTGATTTCTTTTAAATGCTTGGAAGAAGTTTAAGCTCTTCTGATTGTACATTTAAAGTTTTCAGTATTTTTTAAAGTTTGATCAGTTTAATGCAGCTTCCATTCGGTTTTTATGTGATTTGGGACAAAATTAATTTCCAAATCTGTCCGATTCTCTGTGTTTGCCGAGATAGTTAACTTTAGAAGGCAGCGAAAAAAGATCAATAGCTTAAAGCCTCTTTGTACGTCTTGCCAGTTGCATCAATTTGGTTAAAAATGGCACCTTGATTCCTTTTTTTAAAATCAAATTTCTCTCTTTTCCATTGTCAAAATTATTATTTTTCAAATGATTTATTTCTGGTACTTAACTTCAAACGCGGCGGCTAAGATTGCTATTTGCTATAGATCAATCCATGACTCTCTATTTGATTATTAGTTTTGACTTATTTTGTAAAAGGAAGCAATTAGATAAAACATAAAGTTTCCAGTTTTTTAATTTTTATTATCAATTTTACAAATTGATAATAGATTCTATCTTCTGATGTTGCTGTGGATTCTATCTTCTGTTCCTACCATTTTGTTTCTCAGATGATCTGATCCAAGAGAGCCACCTTTATCTATTTCTTATAAATGTATCTTTTTGTTTATATTACTATAAAAATTCAAATGGTAAATGTATGAATACTACTGCATAAAAGCAGGTTTTTAATTTTATATTGTTTGCTCTTTCATATCTCCAAAAAAGTATATTTAAGAAGCACACTTTTGGTTGCTCTAGTGATATACTTATTCCTGTTGTTCTAACACACACCTTCTTCAACCTTCTAACAGGTCAGGCTGTCAAGGATTTTGAACCTGCATGCCAGCTTCAAAGGAGTGGTTGGTATATCACAATTACACGTGATTTTTCTACAAAAATATACCATTCTTGGTCGATATGGGCGGCTGTGTATCAACTAATAAACCATATAAATACAAGAAGTATGCTCAAAGGTCCAGAAAACGGCGAGGAAAGGTTTCCGCCACAGTGCTGGATGCACCAAAAACCAGTATCAGCAATGCCGGAAACCGTTATACCGTCGGCGAGTTCGTTCACGTAAAAACATCAGCCAAGACTCGTAGAAAATCCGAGGTTTCAAATTTAACTGTTCATCTCACCCAGTTGCAATGGCACCACCGCAACATAGAAGCAGATGGTAATTTTAGCATCTTTATGCTGTCTGAAACTTTAGATAGTTATTATGGTGTTAGGGAAGTTTAAATCACTTCTTGCTCTAAAATTTGTGACATAAATTTGACGACTTTCTGTTGGTTTACTTAAACTGAATGATATATTGGAGCACTGATATGGTGTGGGTCTGTTTGGTTGCAGGATTTACCAATTTTGGATAAATCTTGCAAAAGAGTTTTTTGAGCCACATAAATCTTGCTACTTTCATGAGTCTCATTTTTGTTCCTAAATCTTTGATATAGTAAATCCTAGGAGAAGTAGAATTTAAGATATTTGCTCCACTTCTCACTGTGCTATAACTACCCCTTCATTTAAATATTATATCTTGAAAATATCCGCCAAACAAATTTCTTAGATTTAATCAAAATTTATATTTTATGCCGAAAAAATTTCAAGATTTAATGTCTCTAATGATTAAGGATTGTTTAGTTTGCTGAAAAATAAATGTTGTTGAATCTTGATTTGTCTATGAATCACACCCAAGGAATAGAGCATAAGGAGAGAGACAGAGAGACGGAGAGAGAAGTGATGAGCAATAATCTGCGTCACTTTATTTGCAAAATGATATCCCTATTGATAGGAGAGAGAGTATAACATGATATTATATTTTTGGCCTTAATTTAAAGGGATTCAAACTAGGGTGTTTATGGTATTTTACATGTAAAAGTTAATCGTACGACTATTCTCTGGCTCAATCGGCTGAGTTTAATTGGTTTTTGGGTCGGCAGGATCAGCTTGGTCGACTAGGCTTGGTTGGCACTGTCGATCCGCTCATCTAGTTTGACTGTCAATTCTTGATAATAAATGAGGAATTTCTGGACAGCTTAGATATGATTGGACATGTCGAGGGATTGGGTCTTCCCACGAGTCGGCTTCTTCGTAGTGGTTAGTTCGAATGCCTCTTTGTCTAATTTCTGACTTGAATTATTCAAGTTCGGATCATTTTATCGTCTTTTTGTACTTCTCGCGGCTCGGTCATTTTTAACCTTGCCGGCTTTGGCTCGGGCAGGTACCCTCGGTCGGATAAGTGGGTCTCACTAGCTCTCCCACATCATGTTCTTTCTCCTTTGGTCCGTTAGATCTCTTCAAGATTAGCGTTGACACATTTTCAGTCTATAAGCATAAAGTAAAAGAAATGCAGGATTTTTAAAAAAAATAGTTGTTTGGTTTGGATGAAAATGGAATGCAATGCAAAATATAAAAGTATATGAAGTTCATCCTTTCCTTTTTGATATATTTGGAATTCACCCAATTCTGGCTGAATTCCATACACAACCATTTCTTCTATAAAATTTCAAGCTTGATATTCCTAATGTGTGGAACTTTCCTGATATATTTTCAGTGATCTGCCAAGATGACGCATGGTTTGATTCTGTCAGCATCCTAGAATCAGAATCCGATGACGAGTTCAGCAGCATCGATGCAGGTACGCTCTACATGTTCTAACTTATCTCCTTAACTATTACAAATTTTTCTTTTCATGTGAGACTATTTCCAGTGACACCTTTTTTCTGATTAATTCTAACTTGCAGACAGTTTTTCTACTGCAAGCAATGGAATCACAAGGCAGATGATTCAATATGAAAATGCTGCGTGTAAATTTGAGGACTCTGATTGTATTCCAATTACTTTGGCTGTTGAGCAATATCTTCATGGAGATAATGTTAAAAATGAAGAACATTCCAACTTAGATGAATGTAGAGAAGATGGAAACAAAGCTTCTGGCAAGCAAAGAAATGAGATTTCTGAGGACATTTATCCCAGAAAAACATTTGCTTTAGATGGAGATTTTGGTAATTTAATGGGTTTACTAGATGATTGGCCCATCGACGAGGATAGCAAATCCCCGGAGAACACATTGAAACAAATTACATCTCGTTTGCCAGGATTGGTTCCAAGGGTCAACTTTAATGATAAGTACCAACATGTTCCGGCTGTCAGCTCACCGGTTCCGAAGAGAAAATCGGCGGTTATAAGGCTTTCAATCAAGAGAAAATCCTACGAGGATGGAGAAGAGACCACAGAATTTTGTAAGTACTCTTCCTCCCAGTTCTTTGTTGCCCTGAGACAACAATTCGTGCAGAAATTGAATTATAAGATAGGTAAAAACATCAAATTGTTCTGGAATGCAACACATGAGAGTTATCTTGTTATATTAAACTATTTTTTCTTATGGTTTGAAAAAAATTGAAGCTGGTGAAACTTTGTGATTGTTGTATGTGTGATGAAATTATAATCATTAGCTTGGCCATTAAAATTTATTGTTAAAGACAATTGTTAATCATATTGAATATCATCTTAAGGTTTTTTTTGCTCATTTAATGGCTGAATTATTGCAAACTTTGCCTATTCTCGTTTTCTATTGAATATTTTTAGAATTTAAAACGGTTGGCTTTCTTTCAAATCTATAACACAGGTGCTTCAGAAAGATTCTTATATCGTCCGATGGCTGGACTTTTGATCCCGTGCTCGTCAAGGGAGAAGTTAACAGAAGGTTGTTGGTCAATCCTGGATCCTTCATCCTTTAAGCTTCGTAGCAAGAGTTATTTCAGGCATGAACTACCAAAATTATTTTAATTCCACCTTTTTTTTATTAAAAGACTGTTTAACTATAGAGATAGCATTAAGTAAGATCCAAGTAAGACATGGTTAAATTCATCGTGCAGCGACAAGAAGAAATGCTCCGCACCGAACCATGCGCCTTACACCCCATTTGGTGTAGACTTGTTCATGTGTGCAAGTAAAATTCATCACATCGCTCAACATGTCGAGCTGCCCTCTCTCAAATCGCACGGAAATGTTCCATCTCTTCTTATTGTAAATATTCAAGTGAGCTTTCCTCTCCCGTCTCCACTCATTTTTATCAGAGATAAGTGTCAAAATAGTTCTCTAACTCTATGCAGGGTGTTATTTATGTCCTAGAGTCTATAAAGTGTCAATTTAGTCCCCATACTCTTCTAATAGTTCCAGAGTAAGGGGATTAAATTGACATTTTTATAGACTCTCGAACTAAAATGATCCCATATAAACAGTCAGGAGACTATTTTGGCACTTTACTCATTTCCATTATTTCTTTAGCTGTAACACTCATCATATAGAGAATTTTGAGGCTGCAAGAAAACTCTGATCATATTAGCTCTGATTTCTTCCTGGCAGCTGCCTACTTATCCTGCAGCCATGTTTCTTGGTGATAGTGATGGAGAGGGAATGAGCCTAGTGCTATATTTCAGAATTTCAGACAATTATGATAAGGAGATCACTCCCACTTTTCAGGAGATGATTAGTGTAAGCAGTCTGACCAATGCTACTGTGATAATTTTTTATGTAATTTTGTTGTGATTTAATTGTATATGGTATTCTGCAGAGATTTGTGGATGATGACATAGAGAAGGTGAAAGGGTTCACCAAAGATTCTACTGTTTCTTTTAGGGAAAGAAAATAATGGCTGGTGTTGTTAATCCGGAAGATCTCTATTTGAGCGCAGCCGAAAAGAAGCTATTATTTGCTTACAATGAAAAACCGGTGCTCTCGCGGCCTCAACACAAATTTTTTCGAGTAAGGGAAACCTCATTCTCCTTCTGGAAATCAGAATGAGAAGAGAAGAATAGAAAATGTGATCTTTTGTGACTGAATTTTAAAAAAAATATTAAAAAGTTGTAGTTAAATAAGCAACAAATGGACATATTTAGCACACAATTTTGGTGTATTTGCATATCTCACACTTAAACTTTCATATTTACATATATTACACTTTGGTGCTTTAAGCCTTGCATGAACTCTGTATTTTCACTTAGAAAAAGTGGCAGTAATGCTATTTTTGATGTGATATTAAAGATTTGCGTGCTTTGTGTGTAAATATGAAGGATTAGGTATAAGACATGTAAATACAAAGATTTGTGTGCAATATATGTAAAATGCTTCTAAAAAAATGTAATCTTTAATTATACAACAACAACAACAACAACAAAGCCTTAATCCCACTACGTGGGGTCGGCTACATGAATCCTTTTTCTCCATTGCGTCCTATTTAGTGTCATATTTTCATTAAGTTCTAGTAAATTAAGATCATTTTTAATACAATAAGCCCAAGTCTTCCTAGGTCTACCTCTGCCTTTCTTAACAC